CTTGGAGAGGATGGCGCCACAGTGGTTGTTGTCCGACTCCGAGGCCTCGATCATGGCGTCACATACGTCATCAGGGAGCAACGGGTCTGGCAGGCGGACCAGGAACGTCTTCACCACCTCGATGACGTCATGCACGTTCGCGTTCCGGACTCGAGTGAACCGCGGCACGCTCATCTGATACTAGAGAAAATTCCGAGAACAAAATGTGAATAGATGTCAAAGAATCGCTCTTCTGATACTAGAGAAAATTCCGAGACCATTATGGGAATTGATGTCAAAGAATCGCTCATTTGATACTAGATAAAATTCCCAGAACATAATGTGAATATATCATGGAAAAGAATCGCGCATCTGATACTAGCTAATATTCCGGGAACATAGACCTACTGTGAGTGAATATCAAAGAATCGCGCATCTAATTCTAGAGAATATTCCGAGACCATTATGTGGATGGACGTAGAGTTGCTCGCCTGACACTATAGAACATTATTCCGTGAACAGAATGTGAGTGGATGTCAAAGAATTGCTCATCTGATACTAGAGGACATGATTCAGTGAGCACAATGTGAGTAAATATAAAAGAATTGCTCATCTGTTACTAGAGGACATTCAGTGAGCAAAATGTGAGTGAATATAAAAGAATTACTCATCTGATACTAGATAATATTCCGAGAACATAATGTGGGTAGATGTCAAAGAATCGCTCATCTGAAACTATAGAAAACTCCGACAAAAAGTTGCAAATATTATTTGAAGTCAAAGAAACGCTCACCAGGGGAAATTCGCATAAAATGTTGTGAGTATTATGTCAAAGGACCGCGTATCTGATACAAGAGAATATTCTGAGAACATACTTTGAGTAGACGTAGAATCGTTGATCTGATACAAAATGTACCATGGTATTAGTAACTCAAAACGGCCAACAATATCGGATAGAACTTTGTAATTTTAACTTACTACTTACGATGAGTGTGTTGACTTTGCTGGTGGAGCCCTGAGTCTGGAACAGTTCGGGAGTCTTGATGTGCTTCTCGATGTACCACGCTGCGTTTGTCAGTACGCTGGGGGGGGGGGGCACAAGACGGGACACGTGCAGCAGAAGAAATTAATTGCAATATTCTTTTTCTTCTTCTTCGTCCCCCTCCCCTTCCTCCCCTTCCTCCTCTTCCTCCTCTTCCTCATTTTCCCTCATCCTCTTCTTCCTCCCCCGTCTTTTCATGCTTCTTCTCCTCTTCCGCCTCCTCCTCCTTTTCCTTTTCCTCATTTTTGTCCTGCTTTTGCTCCTCGTCTTCAGCTCCCGCTTCCTCCATCTCCTCCTCCTCCTCCTCTTCCTCCTCCTCCTCCTCCTCCT